ATGGGGTTAATAACCAGGGTGTTATATCAATGAGATTGTTCATGCAAAGCACTCAGAATGATGCCTAGCACCTGGGAAGCGCTCCATACAAGGCAGCTGTGATAATAAGGATCATTCTCCAGATGGGACCCCAAGATCTGTCTGCCTAAGTCACAGTCCCTGAGCGGTATGCCTCACTGCTGGAAGGGAGCTGTCCCTCCACGACTCACCTCTCCTGGATCCCAGACTCCTCCTCTGCCCATCACCAATTCAGTGACCTGAAGGCCACACAGCGAGGTGCTAAGCCTTGCCAAACCTCAGTTTTCTTATCTAGAAAATGGGCCTCCAAAAGTCTGCAATGCAGATCGTCAGGGCCATCAAATGAGCAGGGTGCCTGGCATACCTCCATGCTCCGGAAGCAACTGCTACTCTGTTTTCACCAAGATCTTCAATAACAATAGCTACATGGATCTCCTCAAGTATTTTCCCAACATTTACTATGAAAAATTTCAAGCACACAGAAAAATTGAAAGAATTTCATAAAGAACATACATATCTACCCACCCTGGATTCTACCATTAACATTTGACTATTCTTACTTTATCACACATGTACAATTCCTCTATCCATCCATCAATCCGTCTTATTTTTTTATGATGAATTTCAAAATCCTGAAATATTTCTTCTATGATTTTTGAGGACTCAGATTACACCAATCACTATTTCTCATACTGGTCTTAGTGCATTACATCCATTCACTGATTTAATTCTCACAGCAGTTCTCTAAAATATGTCAAGGATGCAGTATGGTATTTTATCCCCATTCTACATATTAGCACATTGAGGCACAGAGAGTCAAAAGACTGATAGCTACTAGATATTGAAGTTGGGTTTGAACCCAGGCCATCAGGCTCTGAAGCCCTGGTTTTTACCCACTAATGCTGTCTCTCTTCTCTTCAGCATAGGTTAAGTACACCACACGACGGAATATCTTGCAGCCAGTATGAAAGAATGTTTAAAAGAGTTCAGTAAAAATAGCACTGGTCTATGAGATGATCCCAAATCCAATGTCTGAGACAAAATACTCCAAGTAGGGGCATCTGCTGTTATCAGTGATAGCCTAGGGATAAATGACATTGGGTGATTAAACAAAATGCTTTATTAATAACTGCAGCTACTATTAATTGAGCTCTTTCTTTGTGCCCTACCCTGTAAAGTATTATAGGCTTTAATATAAGCACTCAAGCACTTAAGAATTAGCCATTGCTATACCCATTTTAGAGATTAGGGCACTGAGGCTAAGAGAAGGGCAGGAATTGCCCAAGTTTACCCAGCCAAGAAGTGGCAGAACCAGGATTCAAATCCAGGTTTGTCAGTTCCCTGAGCTGTTAAAACTTTCTGGCTCTTTCTGCTTTCTTATTTTATAATAAGTAATAAGACGATTAACTTTCATAATTAAAAAATACTTTTAAAAAAGAAGTCTCCTTAAGAAAGAAGACTCACTTACCTTTATTTTATTAGCCATGTGTGTTAGTTTAATAAAATTAAAAACCCTACCTCACACCATCCCCAAAATCAGGTCCAGATAGATTGTCAACCTAAACGTAATGCTAAATGATCTAGCTCTTGGAACATAACAAGAGAAAATCAGTATGTGTTGGCAGCATGGGGTATTTCTTAAATAAGATGTAAAAATAACTATCCATAAAGAAGAGATTAAGAACTTGGATGTTACTAAAGTTAAGATGTTCTGTTCATTAAAAAATGCCATTAAGAGAGTAAAAAGGCAAACCATAGAGCAGGAGAAGATGTTCATAGGATGTACTGCTAACAACTGGCTGGTGACCAGACTATATAAAGAACAAATTCATTTTTAAAAAACCCGGGTAGGGGGCAGAGTATAGCTCAAATGGTAGAGCTCATGCTTAGCATGTACAAAGTCCTAGGTTCAATCCCCAGTACCTCCATTTTTAAAAAATTAAATAATTAAATAGATAAACCTAATTACACCCCCTCAAAAAATGGACAACCCAATAGGCAAGACACTTGAACAAGCACACCATGATAAAGGATATCCAAAAGGCTAATATGCAAATGTAAAAGATATTCAATTTTATTACACATTCAGGAAATGCAAATTAAAACTACAATGAGCTACCACTACACATCCATCAGAATTGCTAAAAATAAAACGCTGACATGGCCAAGTGTTGGCAAGGATGTGAGGCAATGGAAATGCTCAACTTGGCTGGAGGAAGGAGAAGAAATTATTACAACCACTTTGGAAGACTCTTTGATAGTATCTGTTAAAGATACATATATCTCCCATGACCAAGCCATTCTACTCCTGGGTCCGTACCCAAGAGAAATGTATGCATATGTTCAGAGTATATTGTGAATGTACTAGAACAAACTATGTACTAGAGTGGTAAGAGCAATACCATTTGCAAGAGCCAAAAAATGGAAAGAATTCAGATTTTCATCGACAGTTGGTATCTAAATAAATTGTGGTGTATTCATAGGATGGAATATTACTCGGCTATGAGAAAGATTGGCTCGCATTTATACACCCACCTGGATGAATTTCACAATCATACTGTTAGGAGAAAGAACACAGACGCAAGGGATCACACTGTATGGTTCTGTCTACGTGATGTGGAAAACAGGCAAAATGAAACTGCTGTGCATAGAGAGGCATACCTAGGTACTCAGGTAAATCAGATGGAAGTCAGTGAAGTGGGGACCTTCATGTGGAGGGAGAATGCAGTGCCCGGAAGGAGGAAGGAGGGAGCTTGTGAAAAGCTGGGAAGATTTGCTTCCTCATCTGGGTGGTGGTTGGTTACACAAGGGTGTTTGTCACAATTCATTAAGTGGGATATTTCTGTTTCAGGTACTTTTCTGTATGTATGTCATATTTTACAATAAGAGAGGTTTAAATAATTACAAATGACTGAGAAAAGTAGTTCATCATAGTCTTATCTCACAAACTGGGCAGACTGGAAGTCTAGGGTATAATGATAATTGGTAGGGATGTGTGTGGCATTGCTCTGTGCTGAGCAGTGCTCTAAGTGGTTTATACCTGTTATCTGATATAATGCTCACAACAATCCTGTAAGACAGTTACTATTATCCCCATTTAAGGGATGGGGAAACTGAGGCACAGTGGGGTTCAATAATTCACCTAAGTTTGAGTCAATGCTTGAGCTAGGTCTAAACGCAGGGGCCACCTGGTCCCAAAGTAGATGCTGTGTTCACCACCACAAGATTCTTCTAACAAGTGGAGTAAAAAATAAGGAAGTGGAAGTATATTTTTCAAAACACAAAGGTATCTAAAAAGAGAAACTAGAAATTTATGATTGTCCTGAGAGTGAGAGAGGGGCGAGTATATGAGCAGGAGAGGGGAAAGGGGCCAGAAGTGAGCTATGAGCCTTCTTCCACCACATCAGGGACCAACAGGTACAATTCCAGCAGGGCTTTTTAATGCGAGTTGTCAGATGAAATTCAGGGGCTGTATGGACTTGGATTGGAAAAACAACTTTGCTTTTTTTTTTTTTTGAACTTTTAAATTTTTATTTATTTATTTATTATTTTTTTTTCCCTGCAGGGGTAATTAGGATTTTATTTACTTATTTTTAATGGAGGTACTAGGGATTGAGCTGAGGACCTTGTGCATGCTAGGCATGCACTCTACCACTGAGCCACATCCTCCCCACAAATACAACTTTGCTTTTACAATCCTTCAACTCAATAGTCCTCAAAATGTGGTTTGGGACCAAAACTTTTTCATAATAAAACGAAGTTCTGGTCCTCTTTTTCACCCTTTGGAAGCAACCTGAGCTGTGAAGATGTCATTGCTGTGATGGCTAATGTATGTGTATTCTTGTGTTTTAAAAACTTTCCAGTTTTATTTTCTTACAAGGGAAATACTAATATATATAACCCACATATACCAAAGCCCTTGGGGGTCCTCAATAATTTTTAAGAGTATCAAGTTTAAGAACTGCTGCTGTAATTAAAATTTACCACATCTTTCTGCCATGGGGAGTAGGGAGGGGCAACCACAAGACAGTCAGCAGACATCTGGCTTTGTCATGAGAAGAAATCACACATGTTTTCAAATCCCACTATAATCATCACAAGGCTCCCAAACATTTTCTATACACTCAACAAAACTTTTAAATTGCCATAATTTTGGGCTTATCCCTAGATCTTGAAGTTTAATGCATTGATAAAGAAGTATACATATTACTGTATCACATATACAAAAAAAAATTGTATATCTGTAATTCAGTAGCTACAGTTTCCTTTGTAATCCTGCATATTTTTTATGCATGTAAAAACCATGATTCGGAGAAGGGTTTCACCAGCCTGCCACGGGTGTCTAGCAAAAAACGGTTCAGAACCTCAGTTCCTGGAAGACCACAAGTAAAACTAAAACTAAGAGGAAGTTACAACTGGTGGAGATGAGTGGGGTCTTGCGGGTATTTGAGTACAGCTAACAGAATGACTTTTTATTACACGTTAAGTTGTAATGAAGACCCCAGGAGGTGGGGGAAAATCCACACAGTACGAAAGCCCATCTTGAACCCCCTCCCTCAGTGCCAGTCTATGAAATTGCTGTCCCCAATCAGCAGCGGCTGCTATACTTTGAATTTACAAAGCCAAATCTCAAGTCATTTTACGTGCAGGCAGGAAGGAGAAACAACTGAAAACCTGAACTCTCTGAATTTTCCTGCTGCTCTGGGGAAATATCCAAGGGTATTTTGTGACAAATCACTCGCAACCTTCAAACAGCTCACAAAGGTTTACAGGCAAAATTCTCGTTTGCTCCCACCTAGACCCGAGGGCAATTTCTGGAGTTCATGCATTAATAATAATAAAAAGAGCAGCTGATTCTTATTCGGTCCTTACTCTGGGCCAGGCCATGTTCTCAGCATGAAATTTCATGTGTCAACTGGTTTTACCCTCATAATAACCCATAGTGTAACGTACTATTATCACCCTCATTTCGCAAGGGAAGAAACCGAGGCCCAGCAAGGTCGAGTAACCGGCCTGGGGCAACCGCTGAGAAGCAGCGCTGCGGTTGGGTGGACTATGATTTTCTCTTCTCAGCAAGCCCGGGGGCCTGGCGAGGAACCAGTGTGGGCTAAGATTGCAAAGAGAGGAAGGCGCAAAGAATTGCAAGGACTACGAAGCTGCGGCTGCGGGAAGGGATGCGGGAAGGGATGGGGGAAGCCCCCCCGGTCGCAGGCGCTGGTGCCTCCACACCTGGGTACCTCGGGATCCGACAGCCCCAGAAGTGGGGGCCAGTGTCCGTGCCCTGGGGGCTTCGCAGCCACGGGTGGGGCTCCTGGGGGACAGGCGCAGCCTTACCTGTCCCGGCGCTCACCTGGTGGCCGACTTGGAGGTGGCGGCGGAGGCGTAGCAAGCCTTCCTGGGTCCCCTACCCTCGCCCCGCCCCGGGGGGTGGGCGGGTGCGCGTGAGGCGCTCAGGACCGGCCGGACCTGTGGGACCCGGGGCCCCGGGTGTCTGGGGAGGCCGTCAAATGGAGAAGGAAGGCTCTTCCGGGGCTGGGACAACTGTGGGCGGCGGGATACCTCGGCGCTTGCAAACATAAATACCGCCGTAGTAGTGGTGGCAGGAGACGCGTGCGGGCAGCTGGCGCCCGCGAGGGTGAGCCGGGGACAGGGACGCAACCCCCAGCCCCAGCTCCTGGCCCCCGGATGGACGGTCCTGGCTTGGCTCTGCCCAGGCAGGCAGGTCCTCTGGAAGCTGGAGACCAAACAGGAGCGGGGCGGTGGAGGGGCTGGGGGTGGGCATGGGGCGGGCAGTGGGGGAAGGGCTGGGGAGGAGGAGGGTGGATATCCATGCAGGTGCAGGGCGGGGGAGACAGGTGGAGATAAGGGGGGTTGGGGTCACTAAAGGCAGGATAGGATACTGGGGAGGGGCCCGAGGGGATGGGGCTCTCTAGGTAGGATGGAATTCTTGAGGGGTCTGGGGATGTAGTGAGGTATTGGGGTCACTAAGACGGAAATGGAATGATGGAGGATGGAGATGCTGAGGTCTCTGAGGGCAGGGTGGAATACTGGGAATGCCATCGTCAAAGGCAACTTCCCACACTGAGCTCCCCCGACCACATTCCCAAACCTCCTGCACTGAGGGGGCTGCGGTTAAGAGCAAGGGCTCTGGAGCCAGGACCTCTCCAGCCTCCGGTCCCAATCCCCCGCTCCATCACACCCGAGCCCTGCAACTGAATCACTCCATCGCTCAGCTTCCTCATCTGTGATGTGGGACCGGTGATCGCAGTGGCCACCACACGTAGGAATGTCGTCAGTCTCCCATGAGTTAATCTATGCAAAGTGCTTAGCACCCAATGAGGCTCAGAGGGCACCTGCCTCTTGATACTGATGATGTTTTTTGTTTTCTCTGCAGCATCTAGAAAACCATTCGTGTGAAGACCTCCCTGCCATCCTGCCTCCTTCCCTGTGAGGCTGCCAGATCCCCCTGCATCCCCCATCATCCCAGTTCCTCCTGCTGTCCCTGAGGGAATCTGATCCACTCCAGACCCCTTCCCTTCCCCTCTCCGCTTCCCACCCTCTCCCCTACCATGCGCTCCTTTCGTCCCTGCTGGTCCTGCTGCTGTTTGCTCCTCTTTTCCTCCCTGGGAGTTCAGGGGTCTCCAAAGGCTCCCAGTGCTGCTCCGGAGCAAGTCCACCTGTCCTACCCAGGTAAGTGTCTACGACCTCTCCATGGGCATTTCCCAGCAAGATCCAGTTAGATGGGGGCTCAGGAACCCCACACTAATTGCTGTGGGACCCTAATGGTGGCTTGTTCTTCCTGAGCTTCAGGTGTCTGCCTCTGTTAAATGAGGATTATAAGCAGTGGTGCATGTGGCTGTGAGGGAAATGATTCTGGTACCCAGACTATAGTTAACACTCTCCTAGGGGGGCTGCTGTTTTCCTTACTCATTTGTGTGATTGCTCCTTGTGTTCCCACAAAGCTGCCTCCTGGTCTTTGATCTTGGGTGCTGGTGCACGGGGGAAGTAAGACCCTGAACCTGGACCCTCTACACCCAGACTTCCTGGGTTTTAATCCCAGCTTTGCTACTTACCTGCTGTGTGACCTTGGGCAAGTGACTAAACCTCTCTGGTCTCAGCCTTCCCATCTGGACAAAGGGGTTATATTAGTGAGACCGCACGGTGAGGAGTCAATGAAATATTACCTGTGAAGCAGCAAAATGGATCTGGGCACGTGGCGTGGGTCTCACAGGTTTTTGTTCAGGACACTACTACACAGCTAAAGATTAGGATAACTTCAGAGAGCTTTAATTTATTCGAGTAATAGCTGTAATAGTAGCCATATTAGAAACTAACAGAGACATTTAAAACTTTGATTAAATCATTAAAAATAAACAATAATGAACTCATTCAGAAGTAAGGTAAATGACATTTTTCATGAAAAATAACTAGTTTACAAAAGGAAAGAAGTGGAGTGAGGAGAGTGGCATTGATTAACATCTTTTAAAGTCTTTTTACTATCTCCTCCTATCTGTGACAGTTCCTCAGTCTTTCCTTATTTTTTGTGTCCTTGACACTTCTAAGGTAGTGTCTTAAAGGTTAGTTGCCATGTGGAATCTGAAACCCCAAGAATGAACCAGCTTTGGAATTTGCTGGCCAAGTGACCTTGGACAAGGCACTTTGCCTAGAGGCCTCTGTAACATGGCATGAAAATAAGACCCATGTCCTGCGGCTGCTGTGAAAACGCAGTGAGATCGCAGCTGTCCTTTGACCTACACTATAATAATAATAATAACAACAACAAAGATGCTCTTACAAGGGCTTCAGCTGGGAAACTCAATAAACCTCCTACTGGACCTTACGCTGTAGATACTACTGTTGCTCCCATTTACAGAAAAGTGAACTGAGGCTCACAGAGATGAAAAGTCTGACCCCAGGTCACACAGGCTGGAATTTGAATCCAGGCAGGCTGGCTCAAGAGCCCACGATATCGGTTTTTAGAGCTTTGAATTTCTTACTAATTTAGATTTAACAGAAAATTTGCAAAAATACTGCGGTGTTCCTTATCCCCCTCACCCAGTTTCTTCTAATGTTAACATCTTGACATTTTGGAGTACTGAGCAGTTGTGGTTTTGTTTTGTGTTTTTGGTAGGCTAGCCCTCACTGGGGGTTTGTCTGATATTTTCTCATGATTGGAACCAAGTACTGGATTATGTGTTTTTCTGGCAAGACTGTCCCAGCTGCGAGGCAGTGTCCTCTCAGTACGTGGTATCAGAGGATTCATGACACTGACGTGGCATATGGCTGTTACTATGTTGTTAACCTTCATTGCTTGGTTGAAGTGGTGCCTAAGTGAGGGTTCTCCACCGTAAAGCTTTTATTCTTTCCTTTGTAGTTAATAACTATCTTGGGGGAGATTCCTTAAGACTGTGGAAATCAGGGTCTTCCTGAAATGTTTACCCACTAATTTTAGCATCCGCTAGTGGATCGAGTCTGCAACAATTATTAGTGTGGGGTTTGCCTAATTGTGATTGTATAATTTTCTATACTTCTCTTTCCATCTAATTGAAATTTTACTGTAACAGGGGGCTGTCCCTCCCCACTACATTTATTTATTCAATAATTTACTTACATTAGTATGGACTCATGGATATTTATTTTATCCCCGGGTTAAAATCCAATACTATTGCCATTTACTTTATGGTTCACATTGTCGTCCCTGATTTGGTCTTTTGGAAGTCCCTCAGATTGGCTTCTGGGTTCTTTCAACAACCCCACTTCATATCCTGAGCTCTGCCTCACTTTCTGGCACCAAGAATTAGTTCCGGCTCATCTTGTCTATCTCCTGTCCTATCTCTGGAATCAATCACTTCTCCAAGGAGCCCTGTTTCCTTTTATCGAAGAATGGGTATTTAGAAACTCAGATCTGAGCACTAAGTGCGCTCATTGCTACTGAGGTGTCACTGCTTCTAGGCCCTCTTACAAACAGACGTTACATGTGTGTATATTCATATGTGTATGCACACATATATATTTATCTGTATGTATGTGTGTGTATATATATGTATGTATGTGTGTGTGTATATGTATGTATGTGTATATATGTGTGTGTGTGTATATACTATGAAATCATACTCTGATTTTGGTCGAGCGTCAAGGGTCTATTTTAGCATTCTTTCCTTATTTGTAACTTCTTTCTCCAACATTGAGAAACCAAGCTCCTGCTGTCTACAATATACTTGCCTATTTGTTCCACGCTAGAGTAAGTATAAAGCAGTTTCAGAATTGTTTGCCTGTATCCCTGTGAGGAACACTTATGAGACGATGGCATTTAGTGAGGTCTTTTTCCTCTGTAGTCTTATAGAAGAGCTTACAGTTCCCAGTCAAGACACTGTATCGATGCTTTCTTTTCTTCTCCACCACTTCAGTGTGGTTTTGTTATTTATTTTTTAATATAGTTACACTCATTTGTTAGTGTTTATATTCCATATTGGCTTCCCCCCACAACCTGGTGCTTTTAATTGTTAGTTAAATTTTGGGGTATGTGAAGAAAATATGAAAACTGGCTAGCTCTAGGAGTCTAGATTATTAAAAAAAATAAAAAGACAGACTCAGAGATATGTCCTCCTTCCACATCCCTGCTACTCCATTCCTATTTCCCCTTTTTTCTACCCCTTCCCAACCCACCCCCATAAGTAATTCATCTCTTTAGTTCCTGGTGTATTCTTCCTGCTTTTCTTCTGTAAAATAAATAAACAGATGCCTGTGTATTTTCTTATACTCTCTTACAGGAAGAGTGGCTAACTTTGGATACTCTTGCGTACTTTGCTTCTTTGAACATTGTGTCCTGGACATCATTCCACATCAGTTCCTAGAACTTATCCTCTTTCTTTTCGACAGCTGCATAGTGCTCCATGGTTTGGATATTACATAGTTTATTCAGTCACTCTCCTATGTATGGGCATTTTGATGGTTTCTGATATTTTGCAATTACAAGCCCTGCTGCCATGAATAACTTTGTGCACGTGCATTTTGTGCACATGATGCAGGAGAAGGAACTCATGCTCTTAACATCATACTGTCCCACATGGTGTTTTTAAAACCTTGATTTCCTTGCTGACTTTTAAGAATTTGGAGTGATCACTTAAAAGTTTGTATATCTACCTACGGATTCTCTTGGGCTAGAAAAGCCACCGTATAGAGATTTGCTCTAGAAGTTGACAGATTTGGTGGCCCTGGGCCTGCTTCCTGCACGGCCACCATCACCAGAGCAGAACGATGGCTTCTGCTTTTAGACACGGCAGGCTCTATGGTTTGCCACGCACTCCACACCTTACTGCTGGCCCCTGTTCCCATTTATATTACCTAGGTGGCCTTTGGACATCTGAGGTTACAACCCCTAAATGATGTCATGCGTGTAAAGTGTCTGGTACAAGCTCACACACAGTTCATAATGATATTAATAATGATATTCATTCACTCATGTAACCCTGACTGTACTGGGCACATTGCTTTACTCACATTTATTCATTTAAGCCTCATAAGAACTCTAGGGTAGATACTCTTATTTTATAGCTATTATAGATAAGGAAACCAAGGCTCAGAGAGGCAAACTGACTTGCCCAAGGAAAGCACAACTTGGAAACCGCATAGCTGGGACTGAACTTGGGAAACTGCAGAACCAGTGTCCTTAACCAGTAAACGTTCAAGAGCCCCTCACTCTCTAGGATTGCCCCCCGTGCTCTCTGCCCATCCCTCCCCGCCCCTGCCAGGCCTCACTGCCCAGCCCCCTCTTCCTTTCTTTCCAGGTGAGCCAGGCTCCATGACTGTCACCTGGACCACGTGGGTCCCAGCCCCCTCTGAAGTGCAGTTTGGGCTGCAGATCTCAGGGCCGCTGCCCCTCCGGGCTCAGGGCTCCGTCAGCCCCTTTGTGGACGGGGGCATTCTCCGGCGGAAACTCTACATACACCGAGTCACACTGCGAAGGCTGCTGCCCGGGGTCCAGTATGGTGAGAGGGGCCCCGGGCCAGGTATTGAGGGCGGAATGGGAAGAGCAGTGGGACATGGACTGAAAGCTACCACTGGCAGATGGCTCAGGCTGGGCTGGTAACTGCTCTGCTTATCTGCAAGTCTATTGTATGAGACCTTGGGATGAAAATGGAAGGTGTTGGGGACCTGGGGGAGTTGAACAGAAGCGGCATGTCTCAGACCGATTCAATCCCCCAACCCGTTGAAGGTGGATAGGAGTGGAGGAGATGTCTGGGGCGCCCACACCACCAACTATGACCTTTTCCTTTCCCCTCAGTTTACCGCTGCGGCAGTACTCAGGGCTGGAGCCGTCGGTTCCGATTCAGGGCCCTGAAGCATGGGCCTCACTGGAGCCCCCGTCTGGCTGTGTTTGGGGACCTGGGGGCTGACAATCCAAGAGCCCTACCCCGGCTGCGCAGGGACACCCTGCAGGGCATGTACGATGCTGTTCTCCATGTGGGTGAGGCATCGGCAAGGGTGCGCCTGGACATACGGGGTGGGAGCAGGGGAAGCCTGGGTGGGAGGCAACTCCAGAACTGTGGAGGGGACCAGGGCCAGGGCAAGGGATGAAACCGGCCATGGAGATGGTGTTAACCAGGCTGCCCAGGTTAAAAATCAATTCTGACACTTAGAGATATGTGCATTGGTTTTCTCCTCTGTGTTATAGTTATGAGCGCTTGTTCAGAATTCTTGGGCTCTTGTGGTGACTAAATAAGATGACATTGTCTGGCATGTTGTAAGTGTGACATAAGCCTTCATTGTCATTATCATTGCTGTTGTGATGTGAGAGGACAGGAACCAGAAGGGAGATGGAGATTGGGACTGATATGGTTCAACGCCACAGACTCTGGAGTCGGACTCCCAGGGTTTGGTTCCTGGATCCTCACTAACCAGCTCTGTGAACTTGAGCAAATACTTAACCCCTCTGGGCCTCAGTTTGCCCATCTGAAATGGGGATAGTAATAACATCCACTTCAGAGGGTGTTTTGAAGATGCAGGTGACCAAGTGTGTACAGCGTTTGGAACTGTGCCTGATACAAAACCAGTACCAGACCAGACTATGCCAGTCTTATCATTGTTATCGCTCTGGGAATGGATGAGACAGGGGCTGGTGTGATCAGAGTACAGGAGACCCACCTGGTCCTGCAGGGTCTCAGGGACCAGAGGTTTGGGAAACGGTTCCAAGCACACAGGCGGGTGGGTGTGAGGTAGGGACCAGAGAACTGGGATGGCTTGGGGGCCAGGGCTTACACAGCCCTCACCAGAGCAATCAGGTCTCTCAATTCTGGCAAAAGCAGAGCAGGGTCTGAGTCCTCATCCTCTCCCCCGCCCCTTGCCTCCAGGAGACTTTGCCTACAACATGGATGAGGACAACGCACGCGTCGGAGACAAGTTCATGAATCTTATTGAACCTGTGGCCGCCAGCCTGCCCTACATGACGTGCCCTGGGAATCACGAAGAACGCTAGTGAGGCCCGAGGGCTTCAGGGTGGGCGAGGGCCTGGCCAACAAAGACAGTCCTTCTTAGTGTCTCACCTTAGTCTCTCGTGTTGTGGCAGCTCAACTGTGGTAGTGAGAGGAGAGGAGATGAGGGCTGGGCAGAGAGCCAGGCTTGGCCTGATAGTAGGAGGTAGGTGTGGGGCAGCGGCACCCAGACCCTCCCCTCACCCTTTTACTTCCTTTTTCCAGCAACTTCTCCAACTACAAGGCTCGTTTCAGCATGCCTGGGAACAGCGAAGGCCTGTGGTACAGGTAATATCGGGGGAGGGGCATGAGGACCAGCCTCCCTCTCCTGAAGGATGGGAGATGCAGGGGAGACCCTAATGATGACCCCTGCCCTTTGACCCCTCCAGCTGGGATCTGGGCCCAGCACACATCATCTCCTTCTCCACCGAGGTGTATTTCTTCCTCCATTACGGCCGCCACTTGGTAGAAAAACAGTTTCACTGGCTGGAGAGTGACCTCCAGGTAACCTGGGTGGAATCCCCCTTGCACCTGTCCCCTCCTCCCCCTCCCTCACCCCTGCCCCTCACTCTGTGCCCTTCTCTCCAGAAAGCCAATCAGAACCGGGTAGCCCGGCCATGGATCATTACCATGGGTCACCGGCCCATGTACTGTTCCAATGCCGATTTGGATGACTGTACGTGGCATGAAAGCAAGGTGAGGACCCCTTTCCTTGGGGACAAGGTGCTGAAAGCCAGGTGGTGGGGTTGGCCTGAGTCGTCCCTCACCTCCTTGCTTGTCTGGCCCAGGTTCGCAAAGGCCTCCTCGGCAAGTTCTATGGGTTGGAGGACCTCTTCTACAAATATGGTGAGTGACCCTGAATCCCCAGCCCCAGGCCCCATCTCCCAACTCTCCTGACTCCACACAGGGCCTGACCCTGACTTGCTCTGTCTCAGGGGTCGACCTGCAGCTGTGGGCTCACGAGCACTCGTACGAACGGCTGTGGCCAATTTACAATTACCAGGTGAGGCCCGCAGAGGGCTGAGGCCCACGTGGCTGGTGTCAGTGGGCCCTGGGTCAGATTCCCGGGCCTGGCCTCCTGTGACACCCCCTCCCTCTTGTCCCTTCTCCAGGTATATAACGGCAGCCGGGAGATGCCCTACACCAACCCTCGAGGCCCCGTTCACATCATCACAGGGTCCGCGGTGAGCAGGGCGAGAGGTGCCTTAGGTCTCTCTCTCTTGTTTCTTTTTTTTTTTTTTTATGGAGATACTGAGGATAGAACCCGGGACCTCATGCATGCTAAGCACGCACTCTACCACTGAGCTATTACCACCCCACCCGCTCTCTTGCTGCCTATTGAGGGCCACACGTGTTCAGCCCTGGGCCCCACATCCTTTATACTGCTACTATCACTTAATTCTCAACCCTAGTGGTTAGGTGCACTTAGCAGCATGCCCATTGCACAGATGCGGAAACAGAGGCTCAAACAGTCCTCATTCAAAGTCACAGATTCCTAAGTGGCAGGGGCTGCTTGCCCAGGTCTACCAGGATCCAGGGGCAGAAGGGTTATGATTATCATTGTAACCAGACTCCAGATTTTGTCATATTCCACCAGCTTTCTCACTAACCACCTTTTTCTGCTGCAGGATTGCACACTGTGTTTAGTTATTGTGTCTCCTTAGTCTCCTGCAATCTGTGACAGTCCCTCAGTCTTCCCTGTCTTTCATCCTGGCCAGTTGTTTACTCAAAACGCCCTGGATTAGGGTTTGTCTGCTATTTTCTCATGTCACGATTCGGGGTTTGCCTCTTGGGGCCAGACAATCACATGTGACGTTGTGTCTTTCTCAGTTGTCACACGGGGGTATGTGTCTCGTTCCTGGAGGTGTTTCTCTGAATCACCCGCCTGAGGCAGTATCTGCTGGGTCCCTCCACCATAAAGCTATTGTGTTTCCCTTTTGAATTAATAAATATCTTGGGGGAGATACTTTTAGACGCTGCAAATGTTCTGTTTCTTTTTCACCTTTCACCCACTAATTTTTTTTTTTGAGAGGGGAGGTAATTAGGTTCATTTATTTATTTATCTTTAATGGAGGTACTGGGGATTGAACCCAGGACCTTGTGCATGTTAGGCACACACTCTACCCCTGAGCTATACCCTCCATCCTTTTACCCACTAATTTTTGAATCCATCAGTAGGGCTTGCCTGCAACAGTGATGACTGTGGTGTTCTCCGGGGGAACTTCTATTTCCTTCTTTCCTCCTAGATTTATTCATTAGCATCCTTCTGTGAGGAAGAGTTGGCCCTTCTGCCCCGTTTATCTGGTTAGTTAGTTATGGGTTTATACCAGTCTGGGCTCGTAGGTAATTATTTTATCCTGTGAGCTGTCATCCAATACTACTGTTATTTATGCTGCTGCTCAGATTGCTCTAACTCTGGCCACTGGAAGCTCTTCAGACCAGTCCCTGTGTCCCTTCTACGTGCCCCTGTCATTTTGTGGGCTCTTTCTTACTTTTTGGCACTGTGAGGTGCTCCGGGGTCATCTTGGGTTTCCCCGTCCTGGCCTTGCAATCAGTCACTCCTGCAAGAAGCTGGGGCTTATTTTTAAGCTGATTTTTACCAATTAAAGTAAGAACCTCTTGTGATAAAAAGTCAAACAGTCCAGTGGGCAGGAGATGAACACCAGCTTCCACACCCTTCCTAGTCCCACACTCACTGGTGACGAATCTCATCTCTCCGGTGGCATTTTAGAATATTTTCTGTGTATGCAAATGAGTAATTGTCTCAGTAGAGATGTGTTACAGCATCCCTCACTTTTAAAAAACAGCTTGAATCATGCTTCATGCCCTAGTGGCTCCTGACCTTGGTGCACGTTAGAATTACTGGGGGTTGGTTCTTAAAACTCCGATGCCTGGACCCAACCCCAGAACAAACACCAGAATCTCTTGAGGGCTCCGCCCTGGCACTACCACCCCTGCGCAGCCACCACCCACAGCAGGAAATGGAATCTTATCAGCACGGATGGTGCCTCACGTCCGTAGGTGATCACTATTCTGACCTTAATCAGCACAGATTAGTTATTTTTCTTTAATTTTAATTTTCGAAATTATTTTAGACTTACAGAAATGTTGCAAAAATAGTACAAAGACTTTCCATATCCTCTTTACCCAGATTTCCCAAATGTGAACATTGAACCATGCTTGTTTCAATCTGTTTCTGACGGTCTGTCTGTCTATGCATATATATACATTTTACTATTATTTTCAGATCCTATGAAGAGTAAGTTGCACAAACGATGCCCTTTATCCCTCTGTCTTTATTTCCTGAAAAACTAGGACATTCTCTTACATCAGTACAGTGTAACAATCAAATTCAAGTCATTAACACTGATAATATACCATTATCTATTCTACAGACCTCGTTCGAATTTAGCCATTGGTCCTATTCATGCCCTTTGAATCAAAGCAAATAATTTTTTTTTCTGGTCCAGGATCTAGTCTAAGATCTTACGTTCTATCTCAGGGTCTTGTCTCTGTCACGTCCTTTAATTGGAAACATTTCCCCACTCTTTATTCTGCATGACAAAGAGTTGAGAGTACAGAGAAGTTGTGTAGACTTTCCTTCAGTTTGGGTTTGTCTAATGTTTTCTGGTGGTGAGACTGAAGTTAAGCAGTTTTGGTAAGAGTGCACAAAGGCAATATCGTGTTCTTCTCAGTGCATCCTTCGAGGAGAAGCGTGATATCTCTTTAAACCCGTGAAGCCTCAGTTTACACATCCTCTCCACCACAGTTACGGTTTTCTCCTATGTAACTAACAAGTATCTCCTGGAGATACTTTGAGACTATGCAAATAGCCTTCTAGTCTCCAAACTTTTGCCACTGCTTTTACTATCCATTGATGACTCTTGCTTCAATCAGTTATTACGATGATGGCTGCAAGATGGTGATTTTTTTGAGCTCCCGCCTCCTTTCTGTCATATCGCCTGGCTTTCTCCTGCAAGGATGAGCACTTTCTCACTCCCAGGCAATGATGATTTTAAAAGCTTTCTAAGGAGGATCTGCTGTGCAGAGAGGGCTGAGAGCCACTGATATCTTCCATCCTGTGAATTCCACTTTCCCCTCAACAATACATCTTGGCCATTTTTCTGTATCACCTCAATTTGTGACGGCTATGCTATCATTTATTTAACTGACCCCCCTCCCCCTACCCACCCACACACACTGATGGGCATTTGGCTGGCTTCCAGCTCAGGGCTTTTACAGAAAATACTGCAGTGGAGTGTCTTGCACAGCCCTGCACTGTTCTAGAAATCAAAGGGCACAGGAAGCCTGGCTGGGTCAAAACAGTCGATTGTGAGTATTATTGAGGTCAAGTCTTAACTGACCTTGTCTTCCTTGAGGGTGGCAGGGTCCCGGCCTGGCTGGTCATTTCTGCTTCCCAGTGGGTCCTCCACCTGCCCCAGCCCTGGGTCTAAATGATTCTCTCCGGCAGGGTTGTGAGGAGCGGCTGACCAGCTTCACCCTCTTCCCGCGGCCCTGGAGCGCTATGCGCGTGAAAGAGTACGGGTACACGCGGCTACATATCCTCAATGGGACCCATATTCACATCCAGCAGGTGTCCGATGACCAGGTGAGTGCTGGCCCCATCACCTGCCTGAGTAACCAGGCCCAGTGCGTTCTGGAGCCGGTGGTTTAAAAAGAGGACTCAAGAGCCTGAAATAGTGTGTCCAAATCCTACCTCTGCTACTTACCAGCTGTATAACCTCAAGCAACTTTGAGCCGCAGTTTTCCCATCTGCAAAGTGGGGATGTTAATAGTTTCTACCTCACAGGATTGTATGGGGGTTGAATGACTTATTACACAGAAAGTGCTTAGAACAGTTTCTAAAGCATGGTAACTTCCATAAATATTTATCAATAGGGAGCAAAAACAGATCACTCCCCCGCAGGAAAAGGGAGACCCAAATGACGTGTGTGTGGTCCCAGTGGCTTACCCTCTGGCTGTGTGACCCTGGGAAAAATATTTCCCAGGTTAGAGGGACCCAGATAATCGTGACTCATCTTTCTTCATGTTTTAAAAACTATTTTATTTATTTACTTATTTTTGTTTTGGGGGGAGGTAATTAGGTTTATTTATTTACCTCTTTTTAAAAAATTTTCTTCTTTATTTTAATGTAGGTACTGGGGATTGAACATTTTACCACTGAACTATATATCCTCCCCTCTTACCTTTCTTTATTTTTCCATTGTAGATTTTTTGGGGGAAGGGAGGTAATTAGGTTTGTTTGTTTGTTTGTTTGTTTGTTTTTAATTATTATTAATTTACTTATTGGTTTGTTCATTTATTTATTGTTAATGGAGGTACTGGAGATTGAACCCAGGCCCTCATGCATGCTAGGCATGCACTCTACCACTTGAGCTGTACCCTCCCCTTTGCCACTGTCATTTTAAAATAATGGGAGTAACTGTGGTTGATTGAGCACCTACTGTGTACCAGATCCTGGGCTAGATATCCTATATTTAGTAGCACTTTAATCACCACAACAATCTCATGGGACAGATTTTCCTTCCATTTTACAGATGAGCGAACTGAGGCTCAGAGTAGGGAAGTATTTCTCCCAGAGTCACACAGCCAGAGGATACAGAGCTGGGATCTGACCCCAAAGACCATGTTCTTTTCATTGTAAATAACTACCATCTATCATTTATTGAGCAGCACAGGCACCAGAGGCAAGCTCTTGGGTGAATTATCTATTCAGTTCTCCCTACTTTATAGAATATGGAAATTGGACTCAAAGTTGGTTCACATCCTGAAGGCGTCATGGCTATGCTGGGACATAAAGTGAGATTTGTGTGACTCCAGGGTTCGTGCTCTAATAATAATAGCCCACACTTACTCAGCCCTTGCCATGTGCCAGGCTCCCTTTTAGCCCTTTCCAAATATCTCATGAGGAAAATTGAGGCTCAGAGAGGTTTAGCAACTTGTCCGAGGTCACACAGCCTATCAGAGGCAGAGCTGGGATTTGAACACAGGCCACCTGGCCCCAGAGTTTGGACTTTCAGCCCTTATTACCTCTTCTTTTTTTTTTTTTTTTTTTTTTTTTTGTCCCTTGCAGGATGGGAAGATTGTAGACGACATCTGGGTGGTGAGACCCCTGCTCGGTCGGATGATGTATCTCTAAGGATGGGGACAGCTCTCATCTGGGACCCCGGGCCTTACTGCCTTGGCTGGGGTGCCCAGGCCCAGGAGGGGAGTCAGGGCGGGCCTTGACTCCTCTAGCCTCCTGAGCCCTGTGAGGGGTGGATGCAGCCCCTAGGGAGCTGGAGCAGCTTTCCCCTTCCTGATCGTCTGGAGGGCAAATGTGCAAAGTGAAGCAAGACAGGTTTTGGGTGGCACAGCCCTGCCCTCCTGCATAGCACTGACTGTGCGGAGTGTCCACAGAGCCTCTGGAATAAAGAGGCTTATGACTGTGGCTCCGTGGAGTCTGCACTTCTGCTGGGGATGCCCTGCTGGGCCACCTCCTCTCCTGTGGGCCTGCGAGGACCATCACCAGCCCCAAGTCAGCAGGGTGGGAGCGGCTGTCATGATGCCACTCTCCAGCAGATAGCGCCTGTGACTTTCTCCTCCAGGCCCGCCTTCAGTGCCAACCAGATGCGGGGCTTCAATGGCCCAAGGAATGCTAACCAGTGTCCCTTCGTGCCTCAGTTTCCCAGCCTGGCACTGACTTATTCTGGAAGAGGGGCAGATGTTAACTCCTAACTGGGGCAGCTGACAAGCATTAGGAGCTACGGACCCGCTGTTTTCCTCCTGTTTTACACTCCCCCTCCCTCTGTTTCCCTCTTTCTTTCATGTATTCAACCATTATTTATTGAGCACCTATCATGTGCCAGGACCTGTTCTCCATGCCATGTTGTCTGCCCTCATGGAGCCAACATTCTATCCAGGGCGTCAGACAGCAACACAATAAATAAGTAAAATATATAACAGGGTCAATAGTGATAAGTGCTCAGAAAAAGCAGGGGAGGGGATGGAGAGTAGTGGGGGGTGGGCAGTTGCAATTTTCATGAGGATGGTCAGGGAGACTGCACTAAGAGGGTGACAGGTGAAGGAAGGAGCCATGTGGGCAGAATAGTCCAGGCAGAGCAACAGCCCGTGCAAAGGCCCTGAGACAGAAATGCACCTGCTCTGTCAGAGCATCAGTGAGGAGGCCAGTGCAGCTGGGGCAGAGAGTGAGGGGAAGAGTGGGGATGAGGGCAGGGAGGTGGCAGGGGCTGATATGTGGGTTCTTGTGGGTCACAGGGA